TAAAATTAAATAGCAGTAATTACTGATTCGTTACATCTAAAGAGTTTCTTTAAGAGGATAAAGTACTTGATTACATAAGCCATTTATTATGACAGGTAGGCCTACATTAGTATGTGAAAGGACACATCAAGCAGGCACAGGTGATGTCAGTTAAGAATAATGGAAGGTTTATTTCTTACTAAGTCTCAATATCAGGCACTAAAGTAATTATTCGGTGGTGATATATTATGCAGATAAGTGAGCATAGAACTAATTTGCAGACTTTGATTATTCTTACAAGGTATGAATGAAAACACGAGCACAGACATTTTGTATGTATTTCATGTGCTAAATGTCTGTACATAATGCAGGCTGAGTTCTTTGGGGTATTCCCTGGGTGTGTGAGCCAACCAGTAATGACAGCTTATCTAAGATAAGGGGAGGGGAGGGGATTGGTCTGCGTGTCCTGAGATAGGGGAGTTCATTGAGCAGTGTTCCGGATTTAGGGGTGTCTCCAAGGCAGGAAAAGCCCGCGAAAAGTCCGCGAGAAAGGGGGGGGGGGGGTCCAGAAATTTTGGCAGTCCTCAGATAGGGGGTGCTTTCAAAAAGAGGGAACAAGCATATGCTTACGGTAAATAACACTGAATGGGGGGGGGGGGGGAAGGAACTTCTTTTTTCTTTTATTTATATAAATGGTTGACAAAAAAATAAAATTGGCAGAAGAAGAATAAAAATAGCAATATACATGATATAGGCCTTTGTTTATGTAACAAACTAATAGGGATTTTTCAAAATGAATTATGAGAAACAAGAATCACAACTTACGAAAATTGATCTAGCCATGCATATAGGGAAGTTCCGACCCACCCCGGGCGCATGAGCTCGGATAGCTCTTCGCTGTTTTAGACATTACTGTTCAGGATACTGGCATATGGATATGACCATGAGACGAAAAAAAAAACGAGAAAAGAAAACACGATTGCCATGATAATCATAACTGGCTCTTCATAACCACATTGTGAATAGTCAGCATTGTATTAATACACAGGCCGTATATAGTTATGGACTAACGATGAGCTTCATTATTAACAGAATAAGTTTTCTTTGCAATATTACTTAAGATCATTCCCATTAAATATGTTTTTGTATCGATATTTCCGGGAAATTATGACCATGATAGCCATGTAACATACACGCTTGCAAGGTCGATAGTTGGACGCTCTTTCCGGGTCCATCCAAAGACCAATCACGGTCTCCTGTCTTGAGGATGGAACTATATTGGTATGGACCTCTAACTGATGTCATAGTATTAAAGTGCAGAGTAGGACTGTTAATAAATGAGAAAGTTTACCACTGGTAAAAATGGCAAAAGTGACCTCTAATTAATGCCATATAAGTAGGTGGAGAGTAGGACTATTAGTCTAAATCAAAATACACGATAATTGTTATTTCGTTCAGAGGTCTAGGTACCATTTTCAAGAGACAGGAATTAAGGTAAATACACATTTTTAGACATTGTTTAAAATAATTTCTAAACCTGTTCAAATATCTGACCCCGCCCACTGTTCTCCAACCCACCCCTTTCTATATTCTGACCCTCTTTAATTCTACGATTCCGTTTTTTTTTGTCTCCGACACTTCTTTCTCTCCCCATGTCTGTGCTTCACCGTCATGTTTGCAAATTAACACCCACTGCCGCCATTCCTTTCACTCTTTCTCTCCCCTCCCATCCCATTCTACCTTTCCGCCTTTCTCTCCCTCATGCTCTCTCTATTCAACGCCCCTCTCTCTCTCTCTCTATATATATATCTCTCTCTATCTCCGTCCCTCTCTTCCATCTCAATCTCTTTCCATCCCTTTCCTCTATTTCAATTTCTCTATCTCTCTTTCTCTCCATCTCTCACCTCTCCCCTATATTATCCTTTTCTACCTTTCCGCCTGTCTCTCCCTCACGCTCTCTCCATTCAACGCCCCCTCTCTCTCTAACTATCTGTCCCTCTTCCTCTATTTTAATTTCTCTCTCTCTTTGTCTCCGTCCCTCACTTCCATCTCAATTTGTCACTCTCTCTCTCCGTACCTTTCCTCTATTTCAATCTCTCTCTCTCTCTTTCTCTCTTTCTCTCCATCCTTCACCCCTCCCTCTCCCCTATCTTCATTTTTCTCTCTGAAGCATACTTTCTCCTTGATTTTAAACCTATAATAAATTATTCCATGTACAAATCAAATCTTTTTAAAGCCTCTCTAAAGTGTTGGGAGCCCAAACAAATTGATGGCAACAATTCTCTTCAATTGTATAATGACGAAAGTGAAAGAGGATGTCATTTAACACTGACTTCTGCAAGAATTTTCAGGAAATTATCAAAATAGTTCATTACGAGTGATACCCGACCCCTTAATGCGAAGCAAGGCCCCAAAACAGTTGGATTCTTAAAAGTATAAACTTGTAAAATATTGTTCCTCCCGAGGTCATAGTCTGGACATGTGATCGATAGACCATCCATCTTTTTCTGAATAATAATTGAAAACCAATGCCACTCCTTGTTTACTGTACAAAATCACATTACTGAGTAAAGGTGCAGCAAGTTAATTTGGGCTAAGTCGTAATACTAAAGATATCAACTGCCTGTTGCTACGATAAATAAGTGAGCTACATTTTATTTGTAATGCTGTGTTACAAAATAGATAAACTTATGCATCAAATGAAAAAGTGGGAATTGGACCCATCTTTACATCGTAAGAAGAAGAAGAAGAAGAAGAAAGAGAGAAAAAGAAGTAGGAGGAAAAGGAGAAGAAGAAGCCAGAACAATAATAAAAGCAAGAAGCAGCAACAGCAGCCGCATGTATTAGCAGTATAGTTTTAGTAATAATGCTGATGCAGATAATGCCGATGCAGATAATGCTGATAATGATTAAGATGATAATGATAATAATAATAGTAATAACAATGATAATAATGATAATAATAGTAATGATAATGATAAAAATAATGATGATAATGATGATTATGATAATAAAAATTATAATTATAATAATAACTATAATAATAATAATAATATCAATATTAATAGTGATAATAATAATGATAATATGATAATGATAATGATGGTGATGATGATGATGATAATGATAATGATGATGATGATGATGATGATGATTGGCTTTAGTTTTACTTTCAGTCTTGAGACTTACCTTAAGGATTTAGGTAAAACTGAGACCTATCGCCTGTAATGTAAACTGTACTTTTGAACGATTTGCATTTCCCCTATCCAACTAATATATTATAATTGAGCACACAAAGAATTATACATGAAAATATCATATCGCCACTTCTTTACCTATTAAGTTGCCACATTCAGTTTTATTTAAACTGTACAATATATTAAATAATTTCATACCAAAAATTGTGATATTGTAATCGTGAAACAATGGACAAAAACGAAATCAGCTGTTTATAATTGCTTTATTTTTTCCCCGAAAAGAAAAACAAGTAGTATTCAACAAGTAATATTGAAAAGGCATAATAAAGTGGAATATCAATACAAAGACAATACATTGGTACGCAGTAATAACAACAATGATACCATTCCGTTTTATATGGCGCATATCACATTACAAAATTACCTTGTAAAAGTATCCCGGCATTAGCTACGGTAACCGTTATAGGCTCACACTTGTGTGTTTGAATGAAAGAATTTTACAAGGTAATACACATTTATACACTTGCCATGGGTGTAGAGTGGCCAATGTAGATTTTATGTCCTGCCACAGAGGACACAATGGAAGATACTCAAGTTCAATCACTTACAAGAATCATGGTTTTCTAGGGGGAGAGATGGCGCGCGTTTTTCCGACGGCTCATTTTTCTGAAGTTTCGTAATTCCTAAGCTACATAATTGGGAAATTAAATAAGGTTTATAATTCTGAAAATGAAATATAAAGGGTTCATGATTCCAAAGATTACATATGGTTCTATAATTCTATCACCTTTCCTGAATTATGAACCTCTGGAATTGTGTGCCCTCTTTCATTTTTCGGGATTACGAAACTTTGGAGCAACGAACCTTGGGAAAAACGAACATTCGGAATGAATTTGAGGAATAACGAGCATTCTGAAATATGAACCTTCGTTAAAAATATTAAAAAAACGACATGCAATCGTTTTCCTTATACATGTACCATGCTTATAGTATCAAGTATCAAGTATCAAGTTTATTTGTATTCCAGAAAAACACATGTGAAAAATATAATAGAGTATAATCATAACAGTACAATGTAGAATAAAGAACGACAAGGAGACCTTGGTTGAAGCACAGCTTGTTATATGTTAAGGCCCCCTCATGTGATGTGACAAAGATAACTGATTCATGAATACAACAACAAATATGGAATATATAAAGCTATTTACAAAATACTCTCAGAGAACAACTACCCAACGATGCATCGACCACAGCATGGATGACTACAACAAGTATACCCGAAGATGCGCACATCCCCATCACACCGGGTGAGCTAACAAACTCACCGTATGTGTGAAAACATGTATCATATGAGCAAAAATCAACCCTCCCACGGGAGGGTGATCTAATATGGACAAACCCAAGCTGACACCAAATCGAGACATCAATGAGTTATTGCTCTCTGAGTGCAGAGGTCAAGTAGGAATATATGGTATATGTACAGAGGGGAAAGAAGAAGAACAAAAAGAAAAGGGATCAAGGGGATTATGTCAAAGTCAAGAAATAACGAAAAATAGATCGAGAGTATAGTTAAATATGCAACAGTACACAAAAAAATAAAGCTTGATAACACATTCATGTGTCATCGACATACTTGTGAATATGAGCCTTTGTTTAAAAAAAACAACACAAAAACGACATGTAATCGTTTTCCTCGTACATGTACCATGTTCATAGTAACGTCGAGAGAGGCAAGTATTGATCAAATGCCTAGTCAAATGCCATTGTACGCATCCGGCAAAGATTCGAACCCTCAACCTCCCGATTCAAAGTCAAGGACATGAACCATATACATTCAAATTGTAAAAGGAGGAAGTGTACATTCACCACACTCTTATTTCAGATTGCTCTCTATAAATAAGTTATAAAAATCAAATTTTCCCAGTATTGATGAACATCACCTGACTTAAACATAAAAACAAAACAACGAGTGCAGGACGAATGTATTAGACTACATAAAGTGATATTATTATTTTGTTTATATATGTTATAATTATTTCTCTATCACCACAAATATGAAACATTTAAGATACAATTTTTATATAAGAGAATACAAACAAAAAGTATAGGGGAATTCGACGTATTTGGAAGCCAGCAGAGCTACAAAAAAGTACAGGGGCGTTTAGTAGGCCCCGGAATACATCATTATTTCATTTGATTTATTTCATCTATAATAATGCACATATACCTTGTAAAAGATATGTTTAAAAAAAACATAGAAAATGTTGGTATTATCTCGTATATTTTCTATTAAATTCCAGATGTTTTGACATATTGTTGAGAGGACCAAACCCCATTACCGTAATAGAAAAAGCAATATATTGTATGAACGTCAGTGTTGAATAAAAAATCCTGACCAAGTTTCATCATTGTAGCTCATGTGAATTTGGTAAACTAGTTTGATATGTTCTATTCAATGTCAATTATAAAAAACAGCGTGAAAAAAAATTATCATTGAAGTTATGGTTCAGTATTTTTAGCCAATTAGAGATCTGCCACATTGTCACGTGGTAAATATTCAAAATAGAGAGATTTAATATACACATGTATCCCGTTTCCCGTATTAAATATCTTTTTTCATGACTTTGAAGAACCAATCTCTCCTATGAAGTAGATGCAAGGGGCACGATGTATACCAAAAAAAAAAAAAGGAAAGGGAGAAAGGGAAAGGAAAAGTGAAAAGAAGTAAATAAAGTATCCTGCCTCGTTCCCCCCCGTAGGTAGCCTCGACAATTGATACTTACATCCATCTAATAAAATTACTGCCCATCCCAGTAATGCCAGAGGCCCCCGCTACACCACTGCCTTACTGAATGATTATATTCTTGTCTAGCTATCTCTTCTTGGTGCTATGTCTTGAGGGTATCGAGTCCATTTGTCTTGTCCTAACCTGAACGTTGGAGAAGAGAACAAGGTCACAATAGAGATATGTACAAAATATAAAACGGTGCTTTCCACGCCTTGAAAATGAGTTGAGTGAATTAGTCATCCTTGCACAGTCAATTTGAGAAAAAATGAGACTTTGTGTAACATTTCTGTACAAAACAATGAGAGTGTAACTCGGAAAACAGCACTTTGTTCTAAATCAAGACGGAAACATTTTTGCGCAGACCAATTTTTACGAGCTTTTTGAAATTAGGCAGTGCTCACTCAAGCATAAAATGTTGTCAATCCTTTTAGTGCTATACGTTTGAAAAGACCCTTACCCATAATTAAGCATACACGGCATCAAACACAAAATCGTATAGTGCTCTTGCCAAAAAAAGTTGGTCTTAATTTTGAAAAAGGTACTTCTGCAAATTATTTATATATATAAATATATATTCATATTCAGGGAAAAATTATGAGAGCTCGGTTAGCAGAGGTGTTGTGTTGTACTTGGTGTTTCCGGACTGTGAACCATAAGGTACGGGCTTCGAATGCCTAATGCTGAGCAATTGTACTTAAGCAAGACATTTATCAACATTGGACCAAGGTGTAGGAAGTGGATACCTGGCAGGATTTATTCCTTGAATGCACCGAGCGCCTATGTTTGCCGGAGCTAAAGAAGGGGGGTAATAGCATCCAAAGAGTATCCCTTAAGAGCGCATAGAGAGGTTCTATCATTATGTGATACGCGATTTACAAGAAAGAAAAACTAATATTGTAAGTATGAGGGGGGAGACATACCTGTTTGACAGTAATCCCCCTTGAAGCCTTCGGGACAGAAGCACTGGAAACTTCCATGGATGCCTGACCATGTTCCTCCATTCTGGCAAGGGTTACATTCTGGAAAGTAGCATCGTTCATTCAGTAAAAGTAATGAAAGTATTGATATTCTTTCACATCAAAATGGCTAAATTGTCTTTTTTTGTACTTTTTTTGTAATTTGGTGGAGAATTATATAAGCATTAGCAAATATTAGCAAAATACCTTGTTGATTTTACAACTTTAATAACGTAATAAAGATCAATATAGGTTTCAAAATTTTGCAAATTGGTCGTGCAGAGGTATTATGTTTTAGTTGTTTTTCTTATTGTTAATTTATCAACTGTCGTGCTTTTTTCTTCATAAAAGTTCCCTTTTAAAACTATTTCAACGTATTTCGAGGTTAAAAGAGTTTTCCATGTTTGTTTCTATTAGATTAACGAATACGTTTATTAATGTTTTAATGTTAGAAGAAATACACATCTCACCTTCAGTCCTTTCTGCTGTTAGATTCACCGAGAATCCACTTCCAATAAGCGAACCGATCGCTCTACTGGAGTCCCCAGTATCCGACACAAATCTAAACCACAATTCTCGAGTGGGGGAGGTAATATCTTCCGGCAATTCACTTCCAGTCAACTCCACTAGGGTTGTGGATCTTAAAGGACTCGAGCCGTAGCCCACGGCAAGCAAAGAACCGTCGGCGAGGTTAAAGAAGTCGAAACGCGCCCTCACACTGTGATCCTGAGGAGCCATTATCCGCCAAATCTCGTGCACGCTGTCGCTTGCACCAAGAGAAAAGTCTGGAGAGTGGAGCTGTTGGACCGTAGACTCCTTCACCAAGATTAGAGGATTATCATCTGTTACCAAAAAAAGAAAAGAAGGATAACACTAAATGTGGCAGAAATACGGGCATGTTTTTTCCTATAAAAAAGACATACGAGAATAAATTAAGAAATTGTATGTTTGATGTGTAATAATTTTAAGATCATCTGATCATTCGGAAGATTTTTAAATCCCTAGAGTTTCAAAATGACACAAAGACGACCTTATTACCTCTCGGATCCACAGCGTTCAGTGTTGCCATGAATCCAACGTCAGTGTTAAAGGGGTCACTCTTGAATTTGAGCCACATATGGCGGTCATGTGACGTCACAGTTGAATTTAACCCATAGCCAGTCAGCTTCGCAAGCTCTGTGTAACTCAGGGGCGTCAGTCCATCGCCCACCAACAAGATGTCGGCGTTAAATTTGGTAGCGATGTGGACGATGTCCAGCCTGACGCTGTGTCCAACAGGGGCCGATACCTTCCAGACGATGTTATCGCCGATGTTGTAGTTGGAAGGGTAGTTTGGAGAAGTGATGGTCACTGAGACGGCACGCTCAAGGGTAATTTCAGTAACACCCGGTGTTATTGCTGGAAGAAATATAAATGTAACCAGAATGCTTATGATTCTTTTTTAATCCATGAATAACGCAAAAATATATTTTAGAGACCATAATTTCAAGACGGAAATTGAACCTTGAAATATGACTACTGTGAACTTATAATCGGAAGAATTCGGACTCCTATCGAAGGACAGGTTGATGTGCTGGCCAGAGGGCCACTTCACTTTACAACTGCTGCTCCCAAACTGTGGAATAACCTACTGATGTAACCACCTATAACCTGTAACCACCTATCTGTAAATACCTTCAAAATTATCTCAAAACTTTCCTTTTCTGTTAACAATATAACCGTAATGCGCATTTGAACATTGTATATAGAAACATTATTAATATTATTATTATCATTATTATTCACGGTCAAAGGGGCCAGTTGATCAAATACAATAATGGGAAACAGAAGGCTTCAAAAAGTTACAATTGGCTAGTCGCACATACATTCATTGGTTTAACCTTTAGCCGAAGTCCTCTCCATAAAATTCCAAAATATTTCAAAGAATCAACTCCTCAGCAATTTTAATGGCATGTAAAAAATAATTGGATAACTTAATACGCCATTGTAATGCAAGCACATTTCAGTAGGTGGTGGACAAGGCTTTTGAAATTGCCGTGTATTGTTTTTTATGTTGTTGTTGTTGTTGAAAGTCTTGTTTCTCCTGCACAGGTGTACTCACCTCCTGAAACCACAGCTGTAATAAATGACTGGAACTTTGAGATTCTGGTGTAGACGCCGGGCAAGCGTTCTTCAGCGCATCCTCCTCCAAAGCTTGTTAGTCCGACCAGATGCCATCGACCATCATCACCCTCACAGGTCAAAGGCCCACCGCTGTCTCCCTGATTTTTGTAATAATAAACACGAGATAATAAAATTTAATTGGATGACTTGCAAACTAAACAAATATCCTACATAGGACCACACACATGTGCAGCTTTCGAAAAAGTACATGTATTCAGAACCTGGCAGTTTGATATATATTAAAAGGGTATGCAAGTCAATGTGTCCAAATTCTGAAACAAAGACAAAAAGGATATGAAATTGAAAATTACTGAGTGAAAAAAAATACCATTGCAGTCAGTGTCACAGTTATGAGGGAAACGGGAGTACAGCCCAAATAATCGGTCTAATGAAAATAAAATATGATGGGAGAGCAGAAAAACAACTTGGGTAAAAGGTAATGACTCAATCCTATGCCCTTATCTCCTTCCATGCTATCGTAGTAGAGAGGTTTGAGCGCAATACTGGAAATTCGAGGGTCATGGGTTTGACTCCTGGCACGGCACTGATGTCCATTGACAAGGCCTTAATCTACATTTGCTACTCCATACCCAGGATTTAATGTGGACACTGTAGGAGCACGAAGCCTATGTGATAGTTATTGTTTTATGCCCTCACGGCGACCATGTGGTCGGAATACTCTCCAAAAAATGGAGATGCTGCACATTTTGCGTATGAATGAATCCGGTGTCCGGGATAATTATATCTTTAAAACGCTTAGACAGGGTAACCCCCCCTTCAGTTTTTGTTATGTGTGTATTTTGAAGCCAAACCCCCCTCTGTGTTTCTTTTTTCTTTTTTCTTTTTTTAATTGAAAAATAAAAATAAAAAATAAAATAAAAATTATGCCAATGGCTGACCTAAAAGAGATGACCTTACCCCCCAACAAAAAGTGTCCTCTTATCCCCCGCTTATTCAGGAGCTGGCTGAGTCGTCGCGATTTTGTTGGGACCCCCTCCCCCCCCCCCCCCAAAAAAAAAAAAAAAAAAAAAAAAAAAAATTGTCCTCTTACCCCCCGCTTATTCAGCGGCTGGCTGTTAACCCCCCCTGAAAAAAATCCTGCGTACCCCACTGGTAGTAGTAGTAGTAGTAGTAGTAGTAGTAGAAGTAGTAGTAGCATTCTCTTTAATTCAATCCTCATAACAGTTGCCTATTGTGTCCGATACCGCCGCCCCCATGATACCTGTGCCCCCATGGTTAACACTCAGGCTACGCCAAAGATAGCAGTTACCTGACAAGTATCAATTCCACCTGGGTCTAGTTCAGCACATATCATTTCTTCTGTCAGAGTCTCCTGGTACGAAGAATTGCACCCGCCTTGGTTAGGAAGGGTCACCACTACTTTTTTCAAGCTCTCTGTCAACGCTGCGAAAGATTAAAGTAAATCATCGTTTACATCTTCTGTAAGCAAACGAATTTCAAGTCAAGTTATCATCAAATGTTTGAAACCATTTAAAGAGTTATGGAAAGGTAAAGTGGTTTCAACACTGCTATTTGTAAAGCGCTTAGAGACATTTGTATTAAGCGCTATATAAAAATTAAATATTATTATTATTATTATTATTTAGCATGATTTTTCATTTTTTAACCAACTAATAAATACAGTATTTAATGATATTTAGGTGAATAGGGGTATCAAGTTAGGTGGATGAAATCATATTGGTTATGAATTTTGAGATCTACGTGAAGAAGAACTACTGAAGTGATTGTTCAAAGCTTCTCTGTTTGAAAGAGGCCTTTTGGATATCACATTCCTTTCAATCAGATAACCTAGATAATTGATTGGCTAACCCCTGTAGGAAAGGAGCAACCTATATCAGCAACTAAATAGTGAAGCACAGTAATGTTGTTGATTCAATTTCAATTTAATACAATTTAATTGTGTCATTCATTGTAAGTAAAAATATATATATTATTATATTCACAAATAAATACATAAAGTAAATCATGATTTAACCTGGCTAATGATATGAATAAATACCTGAGCCTTAAAAAGAATGAAAATAAATGAATATTGGAAAACTTAAAGAAAAGTCCTAGGTCCTTGTATTAGGCTAGCCGTCCACGAGCATAATTTTCACAAGACTGGATAAATATGAAGGCAAAGAAGATCAAAATAATTAAACATATCAGAATCAACTTGCATACAGGAAACCAGTTTAAAACAAAAAACATGCACATCATGTTTGAAAAGAGTGGCCGACAGTTTGAATCTCTTCCCGCTGCGCATATTCTTAGACGAAGTATTTTATTTTCAGTCGTCTCTCTTGACACAGGCGTAGTGAATGGGTACTGGTGTAATGGAGTAATATATATACTCTGACATGCACTGTAAGGTGATACCGGCACCCGTATAAAACTGAAGAAATCGTATCGCATTTAAGGACACACACACGCACACACACTTCGTTTCATTTGAGTAATTCGCTTTACAAAATGGAAAATGTTCTTTCATTATCATCATTATTATCATTATCAAAGCCTCATCTGTTGCTGTTTTCAAATTTTTGTTGAAGATGCACTTGTTTTCAGGATTAATATGTTTATTCATTATTGTTTGTCTGTATAGTAGCACAGTTAGGAGTTTTGATTTCATTACAGAGCATTAGAGTGGCTGCGCTATGTAAATTAATCTAATTATTATTATCATCATCAAATATAAATTAAAACAATGCATACGTGAGCCTTCCAGTATAGTTGCCCATCCAGCGACGAGACAGCGACGATAGTCATTGAGTTCATCCGAGGATTCCGACAGACACGCGGGTCTGACGTAGTCACTAAATGTCACCGGTTCAGCAAGTCGTATCAGAGCGATGTCGTTGTAGAGCCAATAGACGTCGTACTCGGGATGGACGAAAATATCAGCCACCTCAATCGCTACTTCGTTGTCGGAGTCATCCGTCAAATGTGCGTTCCAAAAAACCACACGATCGACGTAGTAATCACTATAAATGATATTGGATGTAAAATCAGTGATTTTTACTAGGGCGAAATATAATCATGTATATCAAAAGGACATCTCAATGGAGCTGCATTTATTTGAGCATGATATATATTATATATTAACTGTAGTTTCATACATGTACATCATGATTTTATTATAAACTAGACCTGCAATCGTGGCACTACGATATGCGTGCAATGACGGGCGATGTGGCACTAACGGTCGTCTATACTTACATAATCATAAACAGTATAATATGGTGTCTAAAATGCGATTAACTCACAATTTTGTGTGTGAACATATATCATACTTGGTATCATTCGAAAAGGCACTTCATTGCGGTCAGTTTGACACCATTGTCATCTGCGCGCAATGTACTGCTAGCATTAAACGCGCTATTACGTAATGCATAGTAAATTCATCATTTTGGGCGATAACTTTGTGCTGACATAATTGAATTTTACTAAACTTAGCAGACAGTTGTCACGTATACATGTGTCTGCAAAGTTTCATTGACGTAGGCATAAGGATCGTAATTTTAGAGCAAGTTGAAGTTATTTCGCAATTTTCTTGAAAACTGCATATTTGGAGGGCATTTTTTGCAAAGTCGGTCACCGTTAGGGTTTATAATTTTGCATTAGGCTGGAAAGGGCATATCTTCAAGTATCTAAATCCAAATTTTTTTTATTTCATACATACATACAATTGCTTTTCATATAGCGCAAAGTTCAATAAAGTATTGCTTAATGCCTTTTACATGATATTGTGATTGGGTAGATCTGTTCAAAAGAACGGATATAGAATTTGGTGCACATATATTGACTACTAGTGATACTTTATACAGTGCGTCCCAGAAAAAACGAAACCGAGAAGTATCGATGTTTTATCATAACTTAATCACAACCATAATTGATGAATGATACATATTTGGAAAGCTCTGTTTGTTTAAAGTAGCCCCTACATTTTCATAATTTTAACAAACGAATTCGTTTTCACTGGGTGCTTGCCGTAGCAAAAAGCAGATTTGACAAAAGACTTAACTCCGTTTCGTTGACAATCAGCCATGCATGAAGACTCTCGTCTAGGCTGATTGTCAACGAAACGGAGTTAAGTCTTTTGTTAATTTCGTTTATTGATACGGCGGGCAGCCAGTGAAAACGAATTCGTTCAATAAAATTATGGAAATGCAAGCACTACTTTAAACAAACAGAACTTTGTCATTCCTCGCTCATTTTTCCTGATTGAGGGGTCATATGAAAGGGCAAAAACTCAACTTTCTAGAAATTTGATTTTTTCCTCGAAATTCAGATACCGCCCGCCAAATGTCTTTTTGGTTTACTTCCTTCAAATTGCTTTTAATCACTCATGCGTAAAATACGCATCATCTGAGTAGCATCACATAAACGAGGAGACTCTAAGCTTTCCAAATATGTATCATTCATTGATTATTGTTGATTAAGTTATGATAGAACATCGATACTTCTCGGTTTCGTTTTTTCTGGGACGCACTGTATTTATATAAACTTTCATGACTATGATTATTTAGACGAAAACTCGGTACATAATTTGTTTAATTAGTTACATGCATTCTAGAGGTAAACACGTCGTTCGCTACTATAAAAATTGGACTAAGTAAATATCCCTATGAAGGTAAGGTGTAAATTCGCTTCCATTTCCACAGAGCAAACGAGTCTGATTAGTGGCATCATACTTACACGCAGTGAGCTGCGGTAAGAACCCATTGAGAGTTGATCAGGGTAGACCCACACCAACGTCCTTCAAATTTCAATCCGTCGATGCGGAGTGAACCAATCCAAGGGAATTCCCCTGGGCGTGCGTTGGTACCACCAAGAACCCTGTATTGATCTGGTGTGTATGCAGGGCGTGTCCCGCATATTTTGGTATCGAAAAGATCTGGGGGAGGAATAAAGTCGCAAGTCAGTGGCACAACGACGGGAAGGGAAGGGACATCCACCCAATTTGAATAGCACCCCTTCGCCTCCCCCCAGCAAATGAAACAAAACAAAGCATAAATCGAAAATAAAATGAAAAGAGGGAAAAGGAGGCCCAAAGAAGATGACAGACAATCTTTAAATACTCTCCAATCCACCTCCCATTTGGTTGCTGATTTTCTTGTTTCTCTAGAAATCCACTTGGCAGTAAGATCAGTGCCGCCATCCTCATCTTATTAGCTGTACGCCACTGCCACGTGTGATGAATTCAATAGAAAATGCCGACATAGTTTCGTCGGTTTTATGAACTATCATTTATAAACACCTAGGGCATCTTGTTAAGTCCAAGCATATTCTTAACTCGATATCATCTACATGAATATGGCTGCATGGTCTTTACCTCCCATAGGGCCAAAACAGCTCCCATCTTCCTCCTGTTCATCGGTAAACATCGAACAGTTGACGGGCCATGGACGGTCGAGGAGTTGCTCAAAGGATGCCTTGCAGGCATCAGTGACTGCCAAACAGTCGGAGTAGCAAACCCGATGGGTGGGGCCGTTATGGGTGCATTCCGGATAGTAAACGGAGCACATGATAGGGAACAGGTGATCATGGCACGATGATATAGTATCTGCCTATGGTAGGTCATTAGAAAGTATAAACTTTGAGGATTTCACGCCAGGATTTTCAAAGGCAATTGCAACGTAGATGTGTATGGTACATCAACAACTTCAGTGTAGCCAGCAGCTCTTGCAAGTGGTAGGGGGGACCACGTGCCGACAAATATAACATAAATTATGTATTTTCATACAAAAAATAAATATTACATCAAAAAAGATCTCCAACATATTTCAGTCGTTACATCTCTGAAATATACATCCTTCTGTGTGATTATCTTTGCTATCATGCATATCCCCTCGAAAATAATCACTTATACAAAAAAAAAACAATTATTGAATGCGTATTAACAAATACCAAATTCATTGGTTGATATACAGGTCAATAATCGCAGTAAGACAGTGTTCTACTAAAGTTAAAACTAATTAATTAATCTTTCCTGGCATTATCTATGAAAACCACCAACAATCTGGACAAACCCATCAATAATAATGAAAAACTCAACATTTCTTTATAAAGCAATTAAAAAGACATTCCGCTGCTTACCATGTCTGGAAAGCTTCCCGCTGCAGCGTCTGCTGTCTCTGCGTTCCGATTCGGGAAAAAAGTCAAATCGTAGGCCAGGTTCTGTCTACATATATCAAATTGAACTTGTTCGCAGTACGCTGGGTAGGAGAAAATCGATCAATGAAGGGTAAAAAACAGCGATAACATGTCAGAGAAATCGGGAAAGCAGACAACCTATATGACACATTCCCCGTGTCCACACAACATTTTCCGTGATTAGGCGTGATTAGTTACACCGTTTCGGGATAGTTATACTGTTTCGCGATAGTTATACTATGAAATTGTGTGTGTGGACGCTTACTAACTATACGTCGTATAACGAAACGTCGTATAACGAAACGATGCCCAAACATGCGTTTCGTTATACGACGTAAAACTAATCACGCCTAATCGCACCTAATCACGGAATATGTTGTGTGTGGATGTAATTGATGTGTTTGGGGGAACTGCTTAACAAATACTCAGGGGAAAAAAAAAACTCTCTCTAAAGTAAAAGTATAGAAACTCCCTCAATATATAGAGATAACATAGAAATGCATTAATAGGTGTGCAATACAATTGAAGGAAACTACATGTATAACCATATGAATTAATTAAAAAGCGAATGTAAACGTTAAATCAAAACTTACGACAGTATTCCTCCTCTGAGAAATCGAGACAGTCGTTATTTCCGTCACAACTTGCCGATTCGTTGATACACATTCCACTTGAACATTGCACTTGACCGCTGCTGCATCCTGTCATGAAGTATTTAAAGAATCGAATTATAGATAATCTCAATTCTAGTAAACAATTTGTTATCGTGTACTTTAACTGATAGATTCCGAATAGCAATATAAGGTCTGGGCTCCGTCTTATAAAGAGTTGATATTAATCGCAACTTAGATACGATTGATATCAATCGCAATAATGTAAATAAGAAATAGGAGGCTGCAAACTTGCGATTGATTTAGCCTATTCGATATGCGTCGGGCTGTATATACTGATCGCGTTATGGAGACTGACATCGGCGCGGGCGTCAGCCCGAGCGCCTATCATTAATAGTGAACTCATCATTATTCATATTATGTGTATCGTATTTGTGACGAGCGTATTCTCATGCATGATTCATAAGACTAGCCTTAGTTGGTGATCAATCACTTTGATTCAACCAATCAAATATCACCTCCAGTTTCCTCATCGCTCATTGGCCTATTTTGGTCCGTGCAACATAAATATTCATGAAAGAGCTTTACAGGTGGTTCGTAGATTTTCTACGAACGAAACAATGGACATGAAAGAAAATAAAACTTTTCGCATGCACCAGTGATGATAGGCGCTCGGGCTGACGCCCGCGCCGATGTCAGTCTCCCTAACGCAATAAGTATACTTGTAAAGCCCGACGCATATCCGATAGGCTACGATTGATGCGGATCAATCCCAACTCTTTTTTAGACGGGGGACCTAATGTAATATTTTGAGTATAATTGAAATAATCACTCTGGACAAGAAATCAAATATTATGAGGCACGACCCTCTTTTTTAAACAACATGCATTTTTCGTCAGATGTCTTAAACATAACTGGCAAACAAATTATCGTAGGCCTACTAATCTTTAACAACCTCTGTCAGCGCAGTGTCTAGGTCACTGGTTTGTAACTTATTTATCAGGCGGGAAAGGAATATTTCTGAAATTACGTTTTAATACAGGCCTCTGTGTATTACACTTCACTAAAAACCAATCTAGTGTTAGTGGAATATTTTCCCTCCTGCTTCATAGGAAATTGAAGGATACTATATAAATTATCCTTACTTTTATTTCTGATAATTTATTACTTCAAAGCATTCTAGATAAAAAATTGTGAGTGAGGGAAGTAAATTGTTGATGCGTTAATAATCAGTGATATGGTATTACGTATCCACCTACAGCAGTGGAGAATTTTCTTTCTTTTTGACTATTTAAAATGATGATAAGCCGAATTAAATCGTCTTGCGTGCCCCGTGTGGCCCAGGGGCTGCTAATAAGAAACATAACTAAAAAATAAGAAGAAGAAGAATGCCCTAAGGCGTTAAAAGGATTCAAGGAATAAATTCCTACCGGGTTGCCGTTTACTATGTCTGGAAGGATATTAACAAAGATAGATTAATGTCTTGCCAAAGGACATTAGTGCCTCGGCGGGACTCGAAGCAAAAACCATATGATCCACAGTCCGGTGACGTATCCACTAGACCACGACACCAGAACCTATTGCTAATATGATCTTACCAGGGTTTAGTATAGCTGTGACACGAAGACTGAATCCAATATCACCCGTTGAGACATCTGTGGTGAACCTGACCCACATAGAGTGACCGGGTGTAGCGGGTTCACTGGAATTGCTATACCCAGTCAGTTTCTGAAGCTCCCAAGAACCAGGTTTATTGGGACCAGGCCCATAACCAATGTACAAGTAGTCGTATTTCGTTTCTAGGGCCAGCTCTAGAATATGTATCTGAAGGATGTGACCCTCTGGAGCCTTGAGTACCCAAGTAAGGTCGAGGTTCGAGCCGTAGTAGGAGGATGGATAGCCGGGTGAAGATATGACGGTGGGTTCGTTCCATTCAATTTCTATCACAGTGCTGCTGGTATCTGTGCAATGAATTCATAATAATAATAATAATAATAATGATAATAATAATAATAGTAATAGAAATAATAACGATGAAAATAATAAAATAATAATGAAATGGTGATAAGAGTGATTAAAAAAGTAATAATATCTTTAAACCAAAGAAGCCAAGGCATAAACGGTGTTCTTCTTTAGAGTCCTGCAATTATTCTTATCCCAGCAATTGCCAGCATCATGAAAGATTTTTCGAAAGAAAAGTAGAGGGTACCAGACTAAGAGGAAAAACAGTAAGTAACTAGAAGGGGAACGTTGCGACATGGTGTGCAATGACAATACGAGAGTATACCAAGATAGCAGAAAACAGAGATGTGTGGAAAAATGTTACAATCAGCCTCCAAGCTGAGAGAAGATATCTTGATAGATATATAGAATTGACAGACACCCGATGTACACAACGATACATCCACTGAATACAAGACAGCCAGGAATTGAAAATGCCATTTCATGAACTATCTACTCTAGCCGCAACGCACCCATCCCATCTCTAGGAAATAAAGTGTAATGTACTTCAGAACTTGAACGAGTTTAATTAGATCACTTTAAACCCTACAAAAATATGAAACCGTTACAACATTTCCGAATTCATTGTAGCAGGTTCCTCCATTGTAGCAGCGGTTCTCGAACCGACATTCATTGTTATCTGGGAGCAGCAAGGAAGGAAAATTGATTTTGTTTGGACTGGATAAAAGCATAATTAAAGGTACTATGTCCCATTTGCAGGCCATAAACATGAAAGGTTAAATTCCAACAGCATTTGAAAGACAATACTAATTTAGAACTTCCCTATAAAAAATTGGGCTTGAAAATGTCTTTAAGTGGGAAAATAACGACTATAAGTTGTCAAATCGACTTAGGAGCTATAGAGCTAATAAGTTATAGTCTGATTTTTCAGACTATTGTACCGAATGGTTGTACATTTTATGCTGCATAAAGATTTAATCGGTTTAATTTTGGCCATTACAAGAAGTGGGTTATTGATGTAGACAAATGCTCATGAACCCCTTATGGCTCATTTTATACCAAAGCTGAACAAAGCCAGTCAGTCACTCAATAGTGTCTGACAGTGAAGTCTAGCAAGTAAACGGGTTTCCTTGCATAATTTGAATATTAGGACACTGTTAACGTTTAAATTTCACAGCTAGGACATACATGACATATTCATAATTCCTGCAAAGTTCTACAGAATTTGATGTTGGCTGCAAAAGGGACACATAGAAAACAATGGTAAATCGGTGACCATTGGTCCCCCATGATCCTCCTTTTCTTATGTTAATTGAGAGCTTAGTTGATGAGATAACCACCTGTCAGTGACCAAGTGGGAGGTCTAATCCCTCCTGTCCAAACTAGTGCAGGTGGGATTTAAATGCTGTTTCATATCCTCATCCATGTACATAATAATCAGAAATTAAAAAGTCTACCGAAATAAAGGACGGGGTATAAATAATATTTTCTTCCTGAATAACTTCCAATTGTTTTGTTTTACCTGAATGCTAAGAAAGTATATGTATGCTTGTAAGTAGGGAACCAGGGAAACGCCGACTTTAAGTCCTCTCCGAGGGACTTGCTAATGAGGATTAATACCTTACCGAAGTGCACAAGCGTCGACTTGGTTTCGAACCCGTGACCTCCAGGTGACTAGACCACTGCTCTACCACCGAACCATCGCTAAGTACTACTCTTGTTTTAGCCGACAGGCCAAATGTGTAGCCCTCAAGTATATCAGATACCCAGTGTAATTTTTTCATCATTGTGTCTGTAAAATGTCGCGTGGCCCGAATGATCCCCAAGGGAGTTAAGTTTTAAAACAATGCAACGTTTGTGTGCAATTTTGATGTTGTTAAATATAATCATGTATTCACATTTATATGAAATATGCTATTTTTTTCCCATAAACCATGACAAGATACATAGAAATTATTAAGTTCAATGTATACCAAATCCACAATAGCGAAGAGCACGTCTTAATGTGTATGATATTAATCATTTCTACGAAGTACGCATTAATAACTTAAAATCAGCAATATTTATACATTTTTATGAAAGATTTTCATCTATTTTAAATTCCTTGTTGCAATTTGTACTCTATCTAGTTTTAACTACATAACATTTTGTTAGTAAAATATTAATGTGTCCAATTAAGAAACATTTTGACGACGAAATACTTATTCATTCAGCTATTTAGCAAATCGTTTTCCTTGGTCAGTTGAATTGGAATAATACTAGTATAAGAATTATCTTACCTGTATTTTCTGCAGATGTGTACGGCAGAACAGAGACAGCCAAAAACCCAAACACGATGAACATTATCCCCATTTCTCTTCGTGAAACTTCTCCACCTATGAAAATAAAAGAATGCTTGATTATCGTGTAAAAGTTTTTAATGATTCATAGTCCAGTGCGTCCCAGAAAAAACGAAACCGAGAATTATCGATGTTTTAACTTTGATAGTCACATTTATAATTAATAAATGACACATATTTGGAAAGCTTAGATCCTCCTCTTCCGTTTGATGCAACTCATATGATGCATATTTCACGCATGAGTGATTAAAATCAATTTGAAGAGAGGAAACCAAAAAGTCATTTGTACAAAAGACTTAACTCCGTTTCGTTGACAATCAACCATGCATGCATTTTTTCGTCTACGGCTGATTGCCAACGAAACGGAGTTAAGTCTTTTGATAATTCCGTTTGTTGCTACGGCAGGCAGCCAGTGAAAACGAATTTGTTTAATAAAATTATGGAAATGCAAGCACTACTTTAAACAAACAGAACTTTGTTATAACTAGCTCATTTTTTTCAATTCAGATACCGTCCGCCAAATGACCTTTTGGTTTCCTCTCTTCAAATTCACTTTAATCACTCATGCATGAAATATGCATTATAAGAGTTGCATCATATGAAAGAGGAGGATCTAAGATTTACAAATATGTGTCATTTATCAATTATAATTGTGATTAAGTTATGATAAATCATCGATTCTATCATAGTTCTCGGTTTCGTTTTTTCTGGGACGCACTGTATAGTTGCGCAAGTGCATGCTGTAAAATGATTATCGTATCAGTGGAGATGGTACGAATAATGTTATTAAATAAGTTGCCATAGAGGATAGGTCAGGAAAATCCCACTTTCGATTCATGTTCTCCACGATTGGAAAACTGCCCTTCTTGGAGTTGCACCCCAAATGAAGACCAACAAAACCGACAACAACAACGAAAAACAAAATATAAAAGATAACGCTGCTTACCGCTAAATTACATTAATTAAAAAAACAACAATATAATATACTTTAATCGCTCAGGAAAAGAGGCATTCAGGCATATATTATAACTATTAACTCCATATAGAACTTTTTCTCCGCAACTTGGTATATAAACTCCAAATAGTAACTAAACAATACAGAAATATCTGTATGATGTAATGATGAATTCTTTGGCGTTTAAAGCTTTTCTCAATCTCTGGTAATCTCATTACGAAGAAAAATTTGCAATCGATATTCCTCCCACTCTTTCCACTTCGATCGATACCATATATTTAACTCTGCAGAAGAAGAAGGTTTTCAATTTTGTTCTACCCTTGGTGAAACCTTCCTTTTTTTCTTCAAATCTTGCCATTTAGATCATTAACTATCCAGCAATCGAGCCCCCTTTGTGAAAACGTACAGGTGTACGTTATTTTTCGTAAAGCCTGACAGCATTGGATTGGCAAGGCCTGTGCCTATACCAGCAGCTGTCTTGGTTCTGCATGGATATTTTTGCGAATTTACTAATGTTCTCCAGTGGTATTGATGGGATTCTTTGGGACATTGGTAAAGTCCCTATCTCACTGAGCAGGGAATGCTCAGTGTTTTAAATAGTGTACTCTAGTTCTGAAGCCTGGCTTTGTAAACAACTTACCGTGATAGTCTATGCGACTGATGCGCGTACATTAGGAAAAAGGGTATAATATATACTTATATGGGAGAAAAGAGAGTGATAAGGAAGAGAGGGAGATGATATAGTATAGTATATTTCTTAAATCAGCATTGCGATTGAAAAACAAAATCATCTTCCTCTGGTTCATACATTATAAAGTGGGGAGGGATTGGGGGAGAAAGGAATACAGAGGAGGAATAACGATTAAGTTAAAGAGGCATAGTAGTGGCCCTCCATGGAGAATTCAACACCACTCGGGTATTTACCCAACAACTTGTGTTGTCGAACACCAGGATTAGCCTTCAATTTTTGTTGTACCAACAGGTCTCATGTAATGCACTGCATTTACGACCAAGCGCCCCATATGAAAAAGTTGTTATCTTAAATTTCCCTAAACTCTTCGAGAGACTAGGGGTATTTCTTGATGGGAGTATGAGAACCGAATACTTAAGTTACCTACAATACGATAACGATGATAGGTAAACAAATCTCAACAATTAGACGTATTAAAATACATTCCGACAGAATCAATACTCATCAAGCTACCTTATCCATGGATATTATGTAAGGTGGACATGAAGGCTCAAGGAGGCCTCAGCTAAATAATAGACCCTACTCATTTTTTTCAATGAGACTCTACTTCAGGACTGTAATCCTTTATTCGTTGCGGCAGAACATCGAGAGAACATTCTCAGCTCAGTGCCCGTTTCAGTTACGACTTTTTTCATATTTCACATTGCACAATATCAGATTGTTTACTAAGTATATGTTTATAATAAAATGTCATGTGAAGGACTGGTTACTGAAGAAGAATGTCGGCAGGCTATTGTATCCATGAAAACAACAAGTCACCTGGCAGTGATGTTTTATCTGTGGAATTTTTAAATGTTTCGGGAACGACGTAAAATATCTGCTACCCGGCCCCCCCACTCAGGTTTCAAAATGACCGCATGCGTGTTGCCAAAATGTCCTTTTCGTAACAAAAGAATAAGGTCGAGCCGTATTGACCTTACACACCGGACTTTTGCTGAAAAGGGGGGGGGGGGGGGTGCGGAAAAAGGCTCGTATACAAAAGAAAAAGGTCGAGCCGTATTGACTTTACACACCGGACTTTTGCTGAAAAGGGGGGGGGGGGGGGGTCGGTTGGAACACGCATATGCGTACCCTAAATAACACTGAGTGGGGGGGGGGGGGGGGCCGGGATCTGCTATAAGACTGTATAAATGAGGGATTCAACAAGAGAAAGTATCTGAATCCCAAAGATTAGGTATACTTACTTTGTTATATAAGAAAGGGGATAAATAGAGTTTGGACAACTGGAGACTAATATCGTTACTGAACACGGACTACAAGATCTTAGCGAAGGTATTATGTAAAAGACGCTTTCTGCGTTACTATTCATCATCCTTGTTGTAATGGCCTTAAAAATCAAGCAAAATAATGAAATACATGGTATCACGGTCGTCTCTGCAAATAATGGTATGTCGAAAGTTTTTTAAATATCACAATTAGCTGATGACGATGTCCTTTTACTTAATTCCATTGAATCTGCTCAGTAACATTT